AACAGCAAAATTACCACCAGTGATAAAAAATAACACTGTTTGCTAGAGACTGAGGATTTACTAAGTTCTATATGCTAGATGCTTCTAGATTTCACCTTATCTAATTTAAAAAATAAACCTGAGGCCAGGTGTGGTGGCTCACACCTGTAATCTCAGTACTTTGGGAGGCTGAGACAGGGGTATCACAAGGTCAGGGGTCTGAGACCAGCCTGACCAACATGGTCAAACCCCATCTCTACTAAAAACACACAAAAATTAGCCAGGTATGGTGGCACGTGCCTGTAATCCCAGCTACTCAGGAGGCTGAGGCAGGAGAATTGCTTGAATCCAGGAGGTGGAGGTTGCACCACTACACTCCAGCATGGGTGACAAAGCGAGACTCCATCTCAAAATAAATAAATAAAATAAAAATAACCCTGAAAGGTGTGCAATGCTACTCATCTACTGTATCAATGACACTAAATCTAAGGAGGTTAGGTGATGTGCCTGAAGGAGCCCACTAACAAGTGACAGAGTCTAAACTTAAACCCAAATCTGTGTAACCCCAAGGCCTAAGCCATTTTCCTCTCTTAAGCCATCTTGTCGTTCCAAAATCAGGGACTCAGTTTCCCTGTGCTTGAATGTGGGGCCCTGGCTGGCCTCTTGGATCCTGCCCTCCTCCCTCTCTCGCCAGGGACTGAAGTACAGCTGGAGGGTCAGTGCTGTGTCAACGCTGTCCAGAGGCCCACTCCCAGCCCTGTCCTCTCCCTTCCCCATGCTGAGCTGGGATCACCCCACACCTGCCCAGCCCAGGTCCCAGGGCCTTGCTGAATTGACAGCCAGTCAGAGGTTCTCAGCAGCGAGGCTGGTGTTCCGGTTTTAGGAGTGAGGAGGAGGAAGAGGCAGAAAAGGGAGTCGGAGGATAGTTCCCAGGGGCTTCTGTGGCCCTGGGTTACTGGGCATGCCGAGGCACAGTAGGGGAGGTGGACAGAAGCAGGAGGCTGGGGCCTGAGTGATGGGGATGGGAGGCTCTGCCTCTCACACATCCTGCCCTCTCCAGACCCCAGGGCTCCATTCTGTGGACAGTGGATGGGGTGTTTCCAGCCTTCATCCAACATCAGGAGAATGCACAGGCCACAACATCAGAGGCATTAGGCCGCATGCTCTGACACACCACCCTCACTGCGCCATGCTTGATGGAGCACACCTCCAGTTTCCTGAAGGGAGCATGGTCTCTTGGGTCTCTATACATGCTGTTCCCTTGTAATTTCTTTTGTCTACTCACTCCTAACTCTTCCTTCAGGGTCCAGCTCAGGAGTGATTCCTCCAGGAGGCCTTCCCTTGTGCCCCGCCTGCCCCAGAGCTGCATTAGGCCTTCCTCATCACAGCAGCTACAACACTGTACTATAACTCTAGCTCTGGGACTACCTCTCCCACTAGACTGTGAGCTACTTGGGTTGGGAATTGTGCTTAATTCCTCTTGGTATTCCCAGCGGCCAGTGCAGGGCCTGCAAAGAGAACACCTCACGGACACCGGAGAAATGAGTGTGTCGGAGAAAGCTGATACATCTAAGGAGGGTAGGTGATGTGCCTAAAGTAGCCCACTAATAAGTGACAAAGTCTAAACTTCTCAGAGACACCTCTGAGAAGATCTGCACTGGAACTGGAGGCGGTACCTCCATGTCCCTACCTGGCTCCACTCTTCCTCCAAGCTTCATCTTCTGTGCTGTACTCGCCCAGCAGAAGAGGACCCAATGGTGCTCTTCTGAGCTGCCCTGAGCACACAGCCTGCTGGGAACTCTTACACCTACCTGCTTGCTGGCTTGGCCATGGCTCCTGGGATCTGGGAGACAAAGGAGCTTTTTGTAATTTGGAGTGATCAGTGCCATTTTCCAGTGAGTCAGGGAACCCACATGGCGACAAGTGATGCAAAGGAGAGCTCTCAGATGGAAGAAGGCAAGGCCAGCTCTGGCACAGGCTGTTCTCTGGGTTGTCTGGCAGTCCTTTGCTACATCTCCCTCCTGCCCCCACCCTTCCCCATATCCTGTGAGGACTCCTGGGTACTAGAAAGTTACAGGCTTTAAGGCTGGGTGCAGTGCCTCACACCTATAATTCCAGCACTTTGGGGAGGCTAAGGGGTGGGGACATCACCTGAGGTCAGGAGTTCGAGACCAGCCTGGCCAACATGGTGAAACCCCCATCTCTTAAAAAAAAAAAAAAAAAAAAATTAGCTAGGCATGGTGGCGTACATCTGTAATCCTAGCTACTCAGGAGGCTGAGACAAGAGAAACACTTGAACCATGACGTGGAGGTTGCAGTGAGCCGAGATCGTGCCATTGGACTCCAGCCTGGCAACAAGAGCAAAACTCCATCTCAAAAAAAAAAAAAAAAAAAAAAGAAAGAAAAGTTATAGCCTTTAAAGACTGCTCATGTAGCAAGAGGCAGGAAGCAGCTGTGACGACTGAGGCCAAATTCCTTCTCCAGCCCTGCCCTGCTGGGCCTTGACTCCAGAACACAGAGCTGTCTCCTCTTGCCAGAATTCTGCAGGTGAGGCACCAGACAGGTGCAGGGAGCTCTCCAGCAGCCCAGAGGCTGCATGACTAGAAACATCCCAACAGGAGCAGGACAAGCTTGTGCCTAGGGCACCAGACAGTAGGGGACCTGGAGACACAGCCTCTCTCATATTTTCCTGGGTCTCAGATACCAGGGAAGTGGGCCAGAGCGTGGGTGAGGTCCTGGGAAGGCATTAGCCTTGGGCTTGGGATGGAGAAGGGCACTAAAGAAGAGGTCCCTGGGGCAGCCAAAGGGCCCGGGCAGGTCCGCTCTAAGAAATGGAGGTGGTGAGGCCATGGGCAACCCTGGCATTCCTCTGGCAGCTCATTCTGAAGGCCCAAATTATCTTAAACTTTGGAGCCACGAAAGGCCCACAGCAATTCAGAGGACTCCTCTCTGTCTCCATTCTTCCCTTCCCACTCACCCCCTCCCATCCTGGGTAGGAGTTCTTACCAATCCAAGGGTGGTCCTAGAGCCCTGGGTGTGGCCAGGATGGACACAGATGTCAGCCAGAGTGAGCCTGTGCCCGTGGCTCATCCTGCAACTCTGGTAACTTGAGTCTGCCTGCTGCCCAGGCCAGACCAGGTGCAGAGCTCCTCAGTCTTCCTGGGACAAGGCCTTGCTGTCTGCTTCCTGAGTAGCCTGAGTATAGTGAGTTCTCCGACTCCAGCTGGCTTCCTTCCTTTTCTTCTTTCTTTACTTACTCTCTTGGATGAATTGTAAGAATCTTGAATTAACTGACCTTAGTGTTCTTGGAAGGAACACGTGGTAACACCCATGACTGGCTCTGACCCACCCCTTTGGCCTGGCCTTATTTGAACTTCCTGGCTTTTCCCAATCTGCCCAGTAGAAAGCAGGAAGTGGTGTTTGAGCCAATTCTAGCTCCTTTATGGTGATTGGGCACTGAGGGGTAAAAACCAATGGGATCAAGCCCTGCCCCTTAGGAGCTCTTGATGAGGGAGAATGTGACAGGTGCCCACGGGTGGGCAGGCCCAGGTGAGACAGCAGCCCTCAGGCTCACTGGGTTCACCAGGACGGACCCTATTTCCTACCATTTCTCCCTTAAAAGTGCCTATCTGTGACCTTAATTCTACTGCCCTCAAGACAGAGAGGGACTCTGAGAACACTAGTGTCTCAGGCCCCAGGGTTATGAAACAATGGAATCCTCCTGGAACTGCTGTTATTTACCTGGTCTGTGTGCACAGTGGGCCTGCCTGAAGCTGAGCCTGGCTGAGGTCAAATAATCACTCTGCTGCCTGGTCCTTTCCTCCCCTTTGGGGAGGTGAACTGAACGCAGTGGAGCCCAGCTGCCTCATCCAGTCTGGTTCTGAAATGGATTCCCCTTCCCCACTGTCCCACCTACCTGAATTTCTGGCCTGACTTCTGTCTTCGCTCTTGCTTGCTACCTACTTGACACTGCCTGTACTTGGCCTTGCTTGGGAAAGAGCTGTGGAGTTAAACCAAATTGCACTGAGACCCTACAGGCACGGTAAGCTGCTCCCGCTCCCAACTCTTCTCTAAACCTCCAGAAAGAACAACTAGCTCCTTACTGTAGGCAGAGGGCCATCTGTCATCATCTTCCTCTGGTAAGAGGCTTGGGTATTAGAAGATGAATGGCCTGAGCTCTGCAATACCCCTCCCCTGGGGCTGCTGGTGACAGCCAGTTGTGAGGGAGTGGGCCTAGACAAGTTCAGGGGTGTCCTTGTAGGCCCAGAGCTGGAAAGCAGAGGTCTTGGGAGGGAGCTCAGTGTTGGTCTCCTAAAGAGAAGTTGATCTTACTTTGCCACATAAGCTCCCTTAAAAAATGGGCCTAGGCCCTTACCTGCTTAGAAAAGTCAGTATAGAACGTGATCATTCCCAACGATCTGACTCAGTGGCAGGTTGAGAACTCAGCTATAGGTCAGTGGTAAAAGTACAAAGTGGAGAGAGACCAGGACTTCTAAGTTTGGAAGCTGGCACTCTCAAGTTGAGGGGTCTGCTGTTCCTGCAGAACCTAGGCTGAGAAAGAGGACAGGGACCCCTAAGACCAGAACCAGAGAAGCCTTATAGGGGAGAAGAGGGGTCAAGGGAGGCAGCTATAAGGTCAGGGCAGGAGAGTAGGAAGACTGGGAGTGATACTAAGGCTGGCCTGAGAGACAGAGCTTTCCACAGCCAGGAGATCTAAGGGCAGGGAAGGTCCCTGGGGCCGCTCGGGTCTGCAACAGAAGGCTGAGAAAGGATCTGTGCCTGGGAAGCTGGAAGCAGGTCACAGGTTCAGGCGTATCAGCTCCTGGAGTTTGGCCAGTTACCCTGGCAATATCCTGGCCTCTCTGCCCCTTGGGTGCCTTTGGGTGACTTTCACCTTTGGGTCATTGATGCTTCTTTTGAAGGTTCTTACTTGTTCTTTGCTGCGTTCAGGGGATGGGACTGCTTAGGAGCTGGGGAAGGCCAGGGCAAGAGGGGAAAGAGCTGGTGCCAGGAGAGCTTACCACTCTCTCCTTGTAGACGATGTATTTCAACCACTTAAAGTCCTGCCACTTGAAGCCGGCGAGGACAAAGAGAGAATCCCGCTCGTACTGCTCGGGCCGCTGCATGGCGCCCTCGGGGTAGGTGATGCGCAGTGTCGTTTTGCTGCCCACGTCCTTCTCAAAGCCTTTCACTGGTGCTGAGTTCAGTCTACAGAGAGCAGGCCCAGTCAGAGGCTGAGCTGGGTCTGTGTTTGGGGAGGCACCATGACCCCAGAATACCCCAGGCATGGAGAACAGGGAGTCCGGTCACCTGGGCCTTGTCTTCTCAGGTGCCACCCCTAGTTGTCTGTTCCAAAGCCCTCCAACCCAGGGCTCTTGAGGCATCTGCTGACCTCCAGCCCAACCAGCCAGATAGACAGACAGTTCTCAGTGGGCTCAAGGCTAAGGGTTTGGGCCAGGACACTCACCCGAGGTGCCATTTTGGGGAGCTCACCTCACCACAATGTCATAGTCGTCAATTCGTGACCCCAGAGACTTGTTGGCAAGAACGCCCCCATTGCCCACGATGATGCAGCGGCGGCAGCGGAGGCTGAGGGGAGAGGGGCAGAGACCTCTGTAGAGAGCTGCCCACCAGCTCTCTTCCCCTGCTCCTTTGGCCCTTGACCCCCATGCCGTTGTTCAGGACCAGGCTGGGATAGAGGAAGGCCAACGGGCTTCTGGCAGCATTTCTGAGAGAAGGCCTGAACCACACAATGGGTAGCTGGGCCCTGAGACTCTCCAGCATCTCTAGGCCCTGACAATTCCCCAGGAAAACAGGGGTGTGGCAAGGCTTGGGTGCCAGGCTGGATGGTGAGGAGGGAGCTCTGGTAAGATGGCATTCTAGGGTAAATATTCTCCAAGGGGTGGTGGTGTTTAGGCAGGCTTCAGGGGAGAGGGAAAAGTGGGCCGAGCTTGGGGTTATACCAGGAAAGCAAGAAAAAGGGAACAGGACAGGAGGCTTTAGGACTCAAGGCTCCCAGCAGCCACTAGGGAGCTCACCCGTCTTGCTTCTCCCATCCTTGACCCTGGGGCTTTCGGCTCTAGAATCTGTTGGCTTGTCACTGCCTTCTGGACTTAAGCCTTGTCCCCATCACCTGCCCCCACGACTTGGCCCTCAGTCCCATCACTGGACTGTTCCCAGCCACAGTGTCTTTGGTTCTTATCCCTAAACCTCTGGTATCTGAGGACTGGGATGTCTTGCCGAGTTCTGACAGCCCATGGGGGTGCAAGTCAGGTGGAGTGGTTCCACTTACCCGCTCCACCTGCCCTGTGTGTGTACTTTATGTGCATGTGTGGATGTGCTGGAGAAACTGCCCACGTCCAGAGCTCAACACCTCTGCACACTACCAGGCAGCAATGGGGAGGGGGCTGGGCAGTGCGTGGCTCACCTGTCCAAGGCAGGGGTCAGGCGGTACTCTTTGGTGACTGACAAGATGGCTTTGATCAGATTGTCTGCGGACAGAGGAGAGAGGTTTCTGTTACAGGGTCACTTACGTTTCTACAAAATGTTTGCTGATAATCCTATGGGAAGGCACAAGTTCAGTTCCTGGAGGCTAGAGTGAAAGTGGAAGTGGAGAGAGCGAGCTCTGGACACAAGGATGTGTTGGGCTACTGCCCTGACTTTCCTCCTGAGAAAGGAGGTGAAGACAGGAAACAGACAGGCATATCACTGCCTGGGGACCCACCCTAACCCTGGCACACAGCTTCTGGGAGGCTCATCTGGTTTTCTGAGGCTCTGTGGTCAGGCCCCAGGACATGCATTCCTAGGCCAGGGCCTTCCCTGGAAGCTGGAGCATGTGGTCTCCCCTGGAATGGCAGTACCTGCTCAGGGCTAGTGACCCCCTTGTGCTTATCTCTGTGCCCCCACCCAGCAGATACCAGGAAACAAAGGAGGAGACACCCAATGACTGAAGAGCTCACCACGTGGCTCATTATCTGCTATCACCTTTCCCTCACTCCCTCCCACTCACATTGCCAATCCCGAATCCTGCTCTTTGCCAGGCTGTCTACCTACTCCCTGAGCCTGGCTCTGCCCATCTGTACTCCACTCAGCAGGGACTACCATGACTTCTGTGCTCTCAGACCTTGTGCCCACTATTTAGACCTCATCTCCTTGGCCTCTCTCTGGCTTTGGCAATGCTGACTGCTCTTCCAAACTCTGGTATAATGAGAGCACTATAATATAATGTATAGTGAATAACAAGGGTATTGGGTTTGGAATTAAATACTGGCTTTGTCCTGTGACCTTATATAAATCACTTCCTTTCTTTGAGCTTTAGTTTCCTCATCTCTAAAATGAAGATAATTTCTACTTTGTGGAGTTGTTAGGAAAATACAATATAATGTACATAAAGACCTAAAAGTAAAGTAAACTGGTATCTCCACAATGGAGAGCATCTTAATAACATCAAATAACCACAAAGCTGTGCATATACTAAGATTCTACAACTATGCTCCTAGGTGCACAGCATTTAAAAAGTCACACACTTGCTCCAGGAGACATGCAAGAGTTTTCACTGCTGAACTGTTTGTAATCGCGAAATGCAGGAGGCAAGCTGAATGTCCACCAAAGGAAACAGATTAAATGTGGTCTATGAAATCCTATGCAGCCATTAAAAAAAAAAAAATCAATGACCTACAGCTATATGTACCAATACAGGTACATCTCAAAAACATACTAAAAAAATCAATATGAAGAATACACATATATATACATACATGTACATATAAAGATACAATTTATAAAGTTTAAAGACATATAAGAGCAGTACCATATTTTTAACAAATATATAAATATGTAGTGAAAGTATATAAATGAAGCCAGGTGTGGTGACTAACACCTGTAGTCCCAGCGCTTTGGGAGGGCAAGGAGGGAGGACTGCTTGAGCTCGGGAGTTTGAGACCAGCCTGGGCAACATGGTTAAACCCTGTTTCTACACACACACACAAAAATACAAAAATTAGTCAGGAGTGCTGTTGTGTGCTTGTAGTCCCAGCTACTTGGGGAGCTGAGGTGGGAGGATGGCTTGAGTGCGGGAGTTGAGGCTGTAATGAGTTGTGTTCGTGCCACTGCACTCCAGCCATGGTGACAAAGCAAGACCCTGTCTCAAATATATATAAACAAGGCATGAGAATACCAACAATGAAACCAGGATAATGCAGGATAATGGCTTCCTGGGGAAGGAGGAGAATGGAGTAGGAAGGGCCACACAGAAGCTTTAATTGTATCTCATGTTTTATTTCTTAAACTGGGTAGAAGGTACATGAATGCTCATTATTCCTAGTATTTTTTGTATGCTTGAAATATTTCATGTGAAGAAAAAATGACTCCAAAATTAAAAATAATAAACTTATACTTTTTTAAAGGAGGGGTTGGAGACACTGGCAGATGTAGCTGAGAGGTCACCTTAAGGACTGAGAAGTATCCCTTGGATTTCTCTGGGACATGGAGCCATTTCACTGGAATAGTGGGGTAGGATGGGCAAGGGTGCAGATGTTCTTCAGGAGTAAATGGTGAGACAGAGGAGGCAGCAGGTGCAGTGAATCCTTCCAGAAGTCAAGTGAGAATGGGGTGGCGAAGCAAACCTTTAAGCAGTGTTCGACACTAAATGCCTTCAGATATACCTTACAGTGGGCTTCAGGAAAGGCCACAGATTCCCCCCCTTTTCCCATTTCCAATTTCACCTTTAAGGAAGAGCATACTGCTACTAATTAGCCCAGGTGAAGGATATGGATTGGGCTTTGTTTTCTAGGAGGAGAACCTCAGCAGAAAGAGCACACTCTAGCAGGTGCTCTCTGCTTGCTGGCTGATGGGCTCCATATCGAACTTTCCTGGCCTTTGTAGCTATCCCATCAGTCTTGGGTGCAGATTTAAGAGAGAAAAGCGGCCTTCTTGGCTGCCTGCACCCAGGGAAAAGGGGTTCTTTATATGGTTGAACCCGACCCATTAGATTTGTCCTTGGAGGTCTGAGGTCAAAGCTCCAGCTCAACAGTTTTTCCTGGCCACTGTCTTCTTTTTAGGGAGAGGAGGGCCAGCTGAGTAGAGGGTTCAGGTATTCTTGAGTCTCCTGGCCAAAGGACATCACCCCTTTAACAGTTATTTGACATAATTCTGATCACAACTTTACACAATAGTATTATTCTCTCTGGTTAACTGATGAAGGAACTAAAGAACAGACAGGTAACTTGTCCAGGGTCACAGCTAGTAAGGAGGCAGAATGGGGATCTGATCCCTCTATGCCTGACCCGTAAGTCCAAATTATTTTCCATCATGCCATGAAATAGCACAGAACTCGACAAAGAAGCAGAATTGTTCAACTACTAGGGAGGATGGGAAAGTCTTAAGTTAGGAGGGAACTGTGTGGGTGAGGTCCCTAAGGCAATGGAAGGGGAGTTCCTGAGTAAAAGGGAAAGGTTAGCCTTGGACAGGATAAGGAAGGGTTGGAGGGGAGGTGAGGTTCAGGTGAAAAACATCAGGATGGGCTGAGAGAGGGACCTGGGGGCACTCTTGGGGGCCTGTCTCTGTTTTCCCTGGGAATGTCCCTACCATACCGAGTACTCTAGTGTTCATGTCAATGGCACACCTTTTCTGTGCTCTCACAGCTCCTTATACTTCCCTAACCAGAGCCCTGCACTCTGAGTATCTGTATCTCCACTATGCTGGAGGTTTTTCAAGAGAGGAACCAAATCTACTTCACTGTTGTACACTTAGCCCCTGGGAAAGTGGTGGGCTCTGTGTAAATACTCCATTGAAGAAGTAAAGAAGCCGGGCACGGCTCATGCTTGTAATCCCAGCACTTTGGGCAGATCACTGGAGCCCAGGAGTTTGAGACTAACCTGGGCAACATGGTAAAACCCTGTCTCTACTAAAATATATATATATATGCCAGGCACGGTGGCCTATAGTCCCAGCTACTCAGGGGACTGGGGTAGGAGAATCACTTAAGCCCAGGAGGTGGAGATTGCATGAACTGAGATCATGCCATTGCACTGTAGCCTGGGCGACAGAGCAAGGTTCTATCTCAAAAAAAAAAAAAGTGAAAAAAGGAAGGGAAAAAGGTAGAGAAGATTTGTTGAGAGTAGAGAAGGGTAGATTCTCAGCATGGAGACTTCCAAGGATGCAGCTTTGCCCTGAAGGATAGGGAGACAGTGGGGGGACGAGATGTTAATGTAGGTCAGGATTCCCAACATACCTTGACCTTTGATCCCAAAAGGCGGCACAAACTCCCGGATTCGAGCCCACTTGCGAAAGGAGTCATCTAGGAACATGGGTGCTGGCTTGGAGAACCTGGAATACAATAGGACTGTTGAGGATCACAAAAACGCAATAGGCTGGAGTACTGGTAGCGCTTCTGTGCGCTGGTCTTGGCTACGGATCCGCATTCCGGCACATCCCCTCACCTAGCCTGTTCACCAGGTTTGACAGATCTTGTTCAGTGGACCCTGAGTCTGAGGAAGTAGCCCTGGTCAGTCTTTATCTGTAAGAGTGGAGAGACAAGATTTGCTCAGCAAGGATCAATTTCTCAGAGCTGGAAGCTCTCTGGAAGGTTGTGCAGGCATCCATCAAATAGTCACTGCTGCCCACACTGTTCCTGCAATCTGGGAACATGGAGATAAGACACTGTCCAGCTGGGCAGAAATACATCCAAAAATATAGTCTGTGCATGGAGATAGATTTTGGAGAGAATTCTGGGAGACAGACCACCTACAGTGAGGAAGAAGGAGAATTCATGGTGAGAGGGCAAAGCAGGTTAAAAGCCACAGGAGACAGAAGTTGGGCAGAAAAGAGAAAAAGTAGAGTCCTAGGAGGCAGGGTTGAGGGGAGAGGTTTCAGACCAGTAGGAATTTGAGTGCATTTGCTGGTGGAGAGAAGAAAAGAGAGGAGGCTAAGTTGGGTGGTAGTGAGGAGGGACCCAGAGCTTCAGAGGAAGGCTTGATTTGGGCCTGGAGGGGAGATCAGCGGAGGTGGTGGGGGGGTGTGGGGGTGTGGGAAGGTGAGAGAAGGAGGGTAAAGTGATGCTGAGTTGGGGGAAAGAAAAGGCAAGTCTTACTCTTCTTGGAATGGGCAGGGAGGGGACAGGCTTGGGGAGGAGGAGAGCAAGTCTGCAGGGAGGCAAAGGGAAGTGAGGCACAGAGGGAAAAGGTATGGCAGGAATTGAGCTCTTCAGAGATGACTGGAGAACACAACTTCACATGGACGCCAGCACCCTGGCTTTGAGGCCCTTTTCAGGGGAACTGGCAGCCCCAAAGATAGCCAGTTCCTGATCACTCACTGTATGCTGAGAATTTTGCCATGGGGCCTGCTCAGGACCTTCCTGACCACAAATGAATGTGTAAAGGCCTGGGCCTCCGTGGCTCTGTCTCTTTATTTCTAACTCAACCTGAATCAGCCACTGAATAACTGGAGGCTGCCAGGGTGGCCCTCCAAGCCCAAAAGCAAACACAGCATGGATTTCTCATCCCTATCATCACTAACATTATAAACAGCACTCCCAGGAGAAACAGTATCAGTTATCACTCAGAGGTCTGGTATTATTAGAGATTTTGAGGTGAACTTGAAAGAGGCAGAAAACTCTGAATCCTGCTCCCTCCCCCATCACTCTTGCTGGGAAGATGTCAACACTTGGGAGTTCTGAGCCGGGTCCCAGCAATTGAGTCAGTGCACTCCCCCTACCAACCCATGTCAAAGCGTAATGCATATTTCTTGTGCCAAGTATAGAAAATCTAAATAAATTAATATATTTGATGTTTTGCCAGAGGCTCTGAGGATCCCAGTCATGGTCTATGTGTAATATCAAAACAAACATGGTCCCTAGGTAAGCCTTCACCAAGACCCCCTTCTTCTGTGTCAGGACCGAGCTTATACAATTCCTGTAAAGTTTCTCTCAGAGTCAAGCTTGGACAGGATTTTATCTGCTTTCCAGTATGTACTAGATGTCATATGCAAATAAAGTATTCCTAAGATCTGGCAAATGATCTCAACATATTTTTTCCTTCTCCTTGCTCTCCTTCCTTTTTATTCAGATGACTGGAAAATTCAGTAAGTTTTACTTTTAAAAACACCTCATTTTTTGTGCAACCTGTAACATGTTAGTTTTGGAAAAAATACAGACAACCACTCTTTTATGCAAAATAAAAAACCCACAATTGTACAACACAGAGATAATTAACCTTATGGCATACATCCAAACTGATTTTCCTTTTCCCATATTACTTTGTAGACTGTTTTGTAGATTGACTTTCTCCTGCCATATAGACTGGGTCAAAAAACAAAACTTATAGATTGCTGATAATATGACATGAATCAACCCAAAAAAGCAAAATGTAAAAGAATGGACAAAAGTAATATGGCCAAAAAAAGCAGCAGCTGCCATATTATTATTATTATTATTATTATTTTGAGATGGAGTTTCGCTCTTGTTGCCCAGGCTAGAGTGCAATGATGTGATCTTGGTTCACTGCAACCTCTGCCTCCTAGGTTCAAGTGATTCAGGTACGGCCCAGGTACTGCCTCAGCCCCCTGAGTACCTGAGATTACAGGTGTGCACCACCATGCCCAGCTAATTCTTGTATTTTTAGTAGAGATAAGGTTTCACCATTTTGGTCAGGCTGGTCTCAAACTCCTGACCTCAAGTGATCCATCCACCTCAGCCTCCCAGAGTGCTGGGATTACAGGCGTGAGTCGCCGCGCCTGGCCAGCTGCCATATTATTAATGGTCCAAAAAAGTTCACAGGACAGATCCTGGCAAAAGTATTAAATGGGCCTGATAAGAGTTTCTTAAAAATCTTTGGCTCTAAGGTATAACCTATTCATTTCTTGCTTTTATGGTCTGTTTTCACATGTTTTTTTTTTTTTTTTTTTTTTAAATACAGTGTCTCACTCCATCATCCAGGCTGTAGTCCAGTGGTACAGTCACAGCTTTCTGCAGCCTTGGCCTCCTGGGCTCAGAGAGTGATCTTCCAGTCTCAGCCTCCTAGTAGCTGGGATCACAGGTATGCCCCACCACACCTGGTTAATTTTTAAAAAAGTTATTTTTAATAGAGATGAGGTCTTGCTATGTTGTCGGGCTGGTCTTGAACTCCTGGGCTCAAGTGATCCTCCTGCCTCAGTCTCCCAAAGTGCTGGGATTACAAGTGTGAGCCACCACGCTGGGCCACAAACACTTCCAACTTTGCCTCTTTCTTTTATTAGGCCTTTGTGTTTTGGATGCTCTTTTTATCCCTTGAATGATTCAGTCAGCTCTCCTCTAACATTTCTTTCTGCTAGTTGGGTGCACCACTTTGCAAAACAAACTCATTTTTTCCTCCAGTGTATATATTTTTTAACTTTTCATTATGGAAAATTTCACATATACAAAAGTAGAAAAAACAGTACAGCCAAACTCACTACCCCCCAACTCAGCTATTTTCAATCATGGTCAATTTTGTTTCTTTTATACCCTATATATTTTCTTTCTGTACTATTTTGAAAACTCCCAGAAATTATGCCATTTAATTCATAATATTATCACACCTAAAATTTTAACTATAATTTTTTTCTTTTTCTTTTTTTTGAGAGAGGGTATTGCTCTGTTGCTTAGGCTGGAGTGCAGTGGTGCAGTCACAGCTCACTGCAGCTTTAAACTCCTGGGCTCATGCAATCCTCCTGTCCCAGCCTCCCAAAGTGTTAGGGTGACATGAGCCACATGTCCCAACTTATAATTTCTTAATGGCAACAAATGTCCAATCAGCTTTCAGATTTTGTTGTCTCATTAATGTTTGTTGATTAACAAATACTCTATAGTTCTTTTAAATCCATAGGTTTTCTCCTTTTTTCCCCCCTTACAATTTGTGCTAAAGAAAATGGGTTATTTGTCCTGTGGAGTGCCCCATATTCCCAACTGCACTCAGATATTGTTCAGCATGTTCATCTGTCCCCTAAACTCTGTATACTGCTGGTTAGATCAGGAATAGACAGTCTTCCATGATGCCCTAAGAAAGAACATATACATGCATGCTACCCTGTGATATTAAGACTGATCATGGCCAGGCATGGTAGCTCATGCCTATAATCCCAGCACTTTGGGAGGTAGGGGTGGGTGCATGGCTTAAGCTCTGGAGTTTAAGACCAGCCTGGGTGACATGGCAAAACCCCGTCTCTACAAGAAACTAAAAAATTAGCTGGGTGTTGTGGTACGTGCCAGTAGTACCAGCTATCTGGGAGGCTGAGGTAAGAGGATCGCTTGAGCTCGGGAGGCTGAGGTGGGAGGATCGCTTGAGCTCAGGAGGTTGAGGCTGCAGTGAGGCAAGATCATACCACGGCACTCTAGCCTGGGTGACAGAGTGAGACCCTGCCTCAAAAAAAAAAAATTATTGATCAAGACTGGGTTCAAGCTGGGCGAGGTGGTGGCTTATGCCTGTAATCCCAGCATTTTGGGAGGCCAAGGTGGGTAGGTCACCTGAGATCAGGAGTTTCAGACCAGCCTGGCTAACATTGTGAAACCCCCATCTCTACTAAAATACAAAAATTAGCTGGGTGTGGTAGGGGCACCTGTAGTCCAGCTACTTGGGAGGCTGAGGCAGAAGAATCACTTAAACCCAGGAGGTAGAGATTGCAGTGAGCCGAGATCACACCATGCACTCCAGCCTGGGTGACAGAGCAAGACTCCATCTCAAATTAAAAAACAAAACAAAACAAACAAAAAAAAATTAGGTTCAAGTGTTCTTGGCTAGAACTGATAAAGTTCTCAGCAGCTCTGTACAGAATGCTTGTAGCAGCCACTGAGGATCACTGCTTAGATCTATCCTTTTGGCTACAGTACTTCTATAAACTTTCCCTCAGTAACTCTTTGGTAGCAGTCCTACAGGAAAGATGAGATAAAATGCTTATTTTTTCCCCTATTTACCCATCTGCAGAATAATGAGCTGATTCCTTAGCACCCTCCAAAGATGATTAATGGGGCTTTTTTATGTTTTCATCATTAGGAAATTCAGACATTTTAATGTATTTGATATACGTCAATCTACTGTAATTTTTATAACCATTATTCTTATTTATTCGTTTATTTTTTTGAGATGGAGTTTCGCTCTTGTTGCCCAGGCTGGAGGTGCAATGGCGCAATCTCAGCTCACTGCAACCTCTGCCTCCTGGGTTCAAGCGATTCTCCTGCCTCAGCCTCCCGAGTAGCTGGGATTACAGGCATGTGCCACCACACCTGGCTAATTTTGTACTTTTAGTAGATACGTGTTTCACCATGTTGGTCAGGCTGGTCTTGAACTCCTGACCTCAGGTGGTCTGCCTGCCTCAGC